TATACAGTATGAATTAGTAGTTAGTTCACAGGTATAGATGTGTTTCCTCTTTGGCCTCCATCTTTATCTCTTTTTTCTTCTTCTTCTTTTTCCCCTCTTTTCTCTATTTATCTTTTGTATTAAAAAATAAGCAGTTCCCATTTTCTGGATTTTTACATAAAATACAGCTTCCAAAATATGGTTCATAAATATAAGCTTACTACGTTTTCATCCCATAGAATAAAGTGACAACTTTGTTTTGCGAGAGCTTTCCAACCCCAAAGGCCCTTTAATTTCATATATGCATGCAGCGGTTGACACCTTCTCATTAGGGATTCTTCAGACGATCAGTCTGGTAATAGTGGGTCAATATTCTTTTCATTTTTTTCTTTTAGAAAAGGTTAGTATTCATTTTATTTAGGTATAGAAGAAGCAGCTTGCAGATGGTAATGGCTGTAGTTTGAGTCTGTAAACTCAGGAGCAGCGTCTAGTTTGCGCACTTTATCTATTGATTAGCTAAATTTTAATGTATTTACCAATGAATAAACAAAAGATAAAATCTAACTAGTATGAATAAGCGCTGAATATATACTGTAGCCATAGTTCAGATCATGTACGTTTTAACAGTTACTTTTTAGGTATACATTATATATTGGCTTCAATTCTGACAAGATCATCTTTTTCTTTCAGATAAATCAATAATTAAGTACTGAAACTGTCTTAAAAATCCTCCTAATTTGATCCCTTTTGGACTATAACAAACTATCCCAAAGAATAAATGTGGACTTCGGAAGACGGCCATAACCGTAAAGAGAATACATATAATTAACTAGTGCTACTAAGTAAAACCATTCTTAACTTTCAGCTAATACTTTGAAATTTTGGATACACAATTAGTTCTTTCACATATATAGTATAAGAACTTTTCAACCATAAGGTCAAGGTTTTTGGATATGAACCTTATTCCTTTTTCAAATTAATTAACTTAATATTTCAGCATTAGGTATAATGGGTCGTGCAAGTCTCAAGCCTCAATCGATTTTACTTGAGGAGGATGCAAATTAGTAGAATATAAAATTATTATTGAAGTCTTTCCTAAATATTATTTACCAAGTTTTTGCATTGAAAGGTTTTGTAAAACCTAGCAATTTGTTGTAGCTATATAGAAGTCGAGGGAATATCTAATCTCCCTATTTATTATCTTGTAAAACATTCAATGCATTCTCAATCAATCATATACTCCTTGTATGCTCAAGAGATTCTCTGCTTTAACTTTTTACACGATTTAAGAAAACTATTATAATTGTTATGCCATATCAGTATTTTTTTCATACTTTTCTAATATATTTTTTTTGTTAAAATTATTATTTTTCAAATTTAATCATACATTACATAGGAAAAATTATCCAAAATTAAGGTGATAAATTAAAGAAAAAATTATTAAATTAATTAATGATCAAATTTAAAATAATTATGAAAAAACAACATACTAATAGAAATATTTTTACTTTCAAAATTTTTGCATGCACCTAAAAAAAAGAATATTTTTTATGTAATGATAATTTTCTTTTGAATTGAAATCATTATGTTTAAGGTATTTATATGTATAAAGAAAAAGTAATATTAATGTTTTGTTACTGAAAAATAGAAAATGGAAGAAAGAAATGATTTTTTTTATATCAATTAAGAGTAATTTTAATAAAATATATTATTTAAAATTTTGATCGGACAAGTATTTTAGGACAAATATAAATAAAAAAGAAAAAAATGTTTTTAGAATAAAGAGAGTATGGTATAACTTTACAAGATCATACATAAACAACTAGTATAAGCAGTAGCTCTATTGTGCAGAAAAATTTAATGAAATCCTCAATGATTAGTGATGGATTGATAAAGATATGACGGATATATAGGTATAACCCTCATTTTTTTTTTGTCGAAGTTTGTGCAAAATAGTTTATATATATATGAAATTATCGTTTACATGGACTATTTTGTGGTTGTTTCAGTTCAATTTTTGATCTCAATAGTTTTAAATATATACCTAACATACATAACAGTGTTTTCATCTTTATCTCCATACCTATAAATCCTAGATCTGCCCCTGCTTATCTCACTTGCTTTTGCAAGAATACTACTAAATTACAAGATCATTGGTAATAATTTGATATCTATAGATCGCACCTCGCTCTCCCTCCTTTTTTCCTGACTAGTCTCTGTCACTAATGTGTAAGTAACGATCTTTTTCTGGTAAGACAACAACATGATATGCAAATAAAATTCGTGGAAGACCAATGTACGCAATATATATATATCAGTGTGTAGAATCTAACAGGGAGAAAGCTTTCAACGTGAATAAATGGTTACGTGCATGGTCGTAACATGCATGATGCATGGCATTAGGTTAGTAAGAATCGCTTGGGACCACGGCAAAGAACTTTGATGATGATAGGATTCTGATCCTTTCTGCCTAACTGTTAAGAAATTGCTCTTGAGAAACAAGTTAAATAAGAAGATAATACTAAAAACCAAGAAGCAATTATACTATCCGGGACTTACCTAGTTTGACAAGTATGCTTATTACGCGATTGTACTAATAGTTTTTATTAGATTTTTAATCAATAATAAATATAAAAGATATTATCCATATTTATATTATAGATAACTAGAGTTGTTAAATAGACCTTTACAGATCTATACAATTGGCATAATATTTCATATGGTTTTAGTGAAACTGTCCTGCTAACTTTGCATAGTACACTAAACTACATGTCATATCAATATCGATCTTCACAACTTAACACTCGCTAATATATATATAAAAATATAAAAATAAATTGTCTCGACCATCGATAGTTATAGAATGAAGTTTTTATCTAAGTTTTGTTTTTGATAATGTGGTGTAAATGTTTTTGTAAAAATACATTTGAACAAAAAAAAACATTAAATTTGATGTTTTTCATATGTTTTTTATATATTTTTTATATCAATATATTAAATGTTTTTTCGGACTAAACGTATAAAGGTCTCACAATACAATGCGAATGTATTACTAAACACGGATATATCAATCGGCGTGGACCTCCCCTTGTTCCATTGAAGATTATAGAGTTAGATAATTAAAATTGCATTCTATCCACCTCACATCTTTAGTTTAACTATTCAATGTGAAATATATGCTCTAACATTCTCTCTCACTTATAGCTCATCTTTTAGGGCTTGTCAAGTGGCTTGGGCTCCATCCAAAAGACTTAAACCTTATGGTGAATGACTCATTCTTAATCTTATATATCAATCGTCTTTGGTTTAATTATTCAATATTGGATATGTGTTCTAACAAAGATCAACATTTCTTCTTATAACTCATTCCCATATCTAGGAAGTTATACCAATATCTAAGAGATCGTATATGCATTCACAATTTATAAGAACTTTGTATCATGACATTATGAAGGGGCGAGTTTTAATATTACTTCGAGTCTGTTTGCCTCGTTTACTATGTTGTTTTCTCGCTTTGTTTGTCTATCAAAAAAATAACTCCGCTCTAAAAAGATTAAAATTAATGTGAATTCCATTTCTATTTTTATATATTATTTTTATTTTTCTTGATTAACTAAGACATAATGTGAAATTGATAAAATAAAAAATGATATATACTCTTAAAATACCAAAGATATTTATGATAAGATCACTCGCTCGTGTTAGTAGTATGGTTCTAGTTTTAAGAAGTAATAGTTATTACCAATTATCCTTATTAGCCCACGGTGGTGCGTAGTTATCAAATATTAGGGCGTACCAAATGAGATCCTTCTCAATCTTATATATTAATTATTTTTTATTTAATTATTTAATATGGGATATGTATTCTAACAAAGATTAACATTTCTTCTTATAACTCATTCCTATATGAGGAAGTTATACCAATATCTAAGAGATCGTATATGCATCCACAATTTATAACTTTGTATCATGACATTATGAAGGAGCGACATTAATCTTCCGAGCTATTTGCCTCGTTTACTTTATTGTTTCCTACTTTGTTTATCTATCAAAAAAATAACTCCACTAAAAAAAGATTAAAATTAATGTAAATTCCTATTTTTATATATTATTTTTATTTTTCTTGATTAACTAAAACATAATGTGAAACCGATAGAATACAAAATAATAGATACTCTTAAAATACGAGAGATATTTATGATAAGATCATTGCTCATGTTAGTAGTATTGTTCTACTTTTAAAAAGTAATAGTTATTACCGATTATCCTTATTAGCCCATGGTGGTGCGTAGTTACTAAATATTGAAGGGTGCTGATTGAGATCCTTCTCAATCTTATATATTAATTATTTTTTGTTTAATTATTTAATATGAGATATGTATTCTAACAAAGATCAACATTTCTTCTTGTAACTCATTCCCGTATCTAGGAAGTTATACCGATATCTAAGAGATCGTATATGCATCCACAATTTATAAGAACTTTGTATCATGACATTATTAAGGGTCATTTTTAATACCACTTATGAGTTGTTTGCCTCGTTTACTTTATTGTTTCTCGCTTTGTTTGTCTATCAAAAAAATAACTCCACTCTAAAACGATTAAAATCAATATGAATTCCATTTCTATTTTTATATATTATTTTTATTTTTTATGATTACTTAAAACATAATATGAAATTGATAAAATACAAAAGGATAGATATTCCTAAAATACCAAAGATATTTATCATAAGATCACTGCTCATGTTAGTGAAGTGGTTCTACTTTTAGGAAGTAATAGTTATTACTAACTATCCTTGTTAGCCCATGGTGGTGCCTAGTTACCAAATATTGAGGGTACTAACGGAGATCCTGGCAGCGGTCGTGTCCTAACAGTGGTGACGGTAACAGCTAGCAAGGTACTGGTTGGTGGCACAGACGATTGATACTAGTTAACGGAAAGATTAAAATAGGGGGAACGAGCCATAGGCCCATGAATATCTGTAGCGCTGACAATAGACGAAACAGAAATCGCAGTGGTCACCAAATGATGGTGGTGATGGCAGCAACCACTGACCACTGGCAGCTGTAGCGACCACTTAATCGTGGTAACCTTGGCTTGCTAGCCCCTATGTTGGCGCGGTCCATGAATGAGTAAAGATAATCCATGGATGTGGTGGCGGCGGTCAAAATAGTGATAGGAGGTCGCAGTTTAGCTGTTGCAACCAGCCAATCATGGCATGGCTAGGTGGCCATTAGGAAATGGTGGTGGCTGTGGCCATAACCAGCTGAAAATGTTGATAGTATCAGGTGCTATTGTTAGAATAACGACAAGTATTTGCCAAATTTAGGTTCTTAAAAACAAAAACAAAAACAAACAATAATTGCCACTATTAATTTTCGTTCTGTTGAAAACAAAATCAAAATGCTGAAGGGCCAACATAAAAATGTGCATATCTTCTTTGCTTGTAACTGCTACCAAGTACCCAGTCTAGTTAAAGGCAATCAAAGGATCATGGGCAAGGCTTCTACGCCAGACTTTCGTTGACGAAGGAAAAACAGGGTGATCCTGCACTTTCTTTTACTCACTTGTGGTAAACTGTAAATCATTCGAACAGTAGCCAGAAATATGGAGACAGTATCCCAATCTCAGATGCAAATCTGAAAAGGCACTGATGGAGGCATCAATTAGCTATCTCACAGTAGATGCGCTTGAATTTTCTTTCATGTGTGAGCATCCGTCCTGCTTTTGACTTGTAGATTACACCTTACTAATATCATCAGTTCATGGTATTCCTGGATACTAATTTGGAAGTTGGATCACCATAAAAAAGAAACCATTAGTTTTTTTTTAACTTCCTGCACTTTCATTTACTCACTTGAGTTGACCAGAAATATGGAGACAATATCCCAATCTCACATGCAAATCTGAAAAGGCACCGATGGAGGCATCAATTAGCTATCTAACAGTAGATGTGCTTGAATTTCCTTTCAACTGTGAGCATTCGTTCTGCTTTTGACTTGCGGATTACACCTTGCTAATATCATTAGTTCATTATACTCCTGGATGCCAATTTGGAAGTTGTATTACCACAAAAAAGAAACTGAGTTTTTTTTTTTTTTTTTTTTAACTTCCTGCTCTTATTCACAGTATGAAGTCCATCATCGAACGCTACAACAAACAGAAAGAGGAGCATCAGCAGCTGCTAAATCCTGCTTCAGAAGTCAAGGTATGCACTTACCAAACACTCCTATTGCTTGCCAACTTTCACTGCATTTGAGTGGTTGCATTTACTTCAGAACGAAGAGTTGTAAATGGCTCTAGACGTCCATCTTAAAAGAAACAAAATTGATAACCAGTTGCACAGTTTTTCATCATTCCCATAGGAACTTTACTGGGGTTTAAATTTGCCTTAGTCTGAAAAAAAGAAAGCTAAAAACTTGGCATCAACAGGTCACAAAGCAGTTGGTTCACAAATACAGCATTGCCTGTCAGATATTTGAGATTTGGATCCAATGCACATATCATTCACAAACACTAGATAGATCAAAATAATTATGTCAAGGAGATGGCTCCAAGGCTAAACATCAGATGACAGCATTATTGAATCATAAATTAAATAGAACTTTAAGTTATTAGTTAATTAAATTCGTTAAAATTATTTTATTTCTGACAAATAACTATTTAGAATAAGTATTTATTAAGACTTTATTTATCAGAATCAAAGGAAAAACCAGAAAAATCCGCAGAATGGATTTTTTTTTTTTTTGTGATATAAGAGGAAATTTCACAAAGAAATAGATAGATTCATGATTCCTAGTTAGGAAACCTCTATGAACAAGTTAAAAGTGCAAATTCTTTTTCTGCTGATTACAAGTCATCTACTATAAACATAGAAGAGTAGTGACTCTAAACTATCATTATCATACCATGCGAGAGGGTCACCATAAGAGAAGCTTCTGTAATGTGCCAGGCAATGCCACTTCTAACTTTCTCCTGTAACCAAATAGGACATCAACGTCACCATATAGGAACATCTACAATATGCAAACACTTCATTCCCCAGTGCAAAACTCAATACACAAATTAAGTGCTCTGTGCAGACTCTTGCATGAACGTCAAAATTTCCATGGCAATCACTTCTTAATGCAGCTCTCTTCAATTCTATTCTACACAAATTATTGACTGTCATATGATGTGCTTCATTCAGTTTTGGCAAAGGGAGGCAGCAAGCTTGAGGAAGGAACTGCAATACTTGCAAGAATGCCATCGGTAAAGTTAATAATTACACAAATGTTCTCAATAGAAGATCCCAACAACACATCACCATTGGCCATGAAATGATGATGTGTAGGCTATCTGATGAAAAAATTATGGCCGTGGAACCGAACTCACAAAAATGTTTCTAAAAGTTTAGATCATGGACCACAGTTGTAGCCACATCTGCCACGAAAGAAAAACCACCGGATTTTAAGTAGACAAGTTTTTTTTTTTAACACCATATTTATGGACAAGTATAACGCTCTGGCACCATACCTAACATTTTGCCTTCGTGACATTGCAGGCAACTGATGGGAGAAGAACTGTCTGGTTTGAGCATCAAAGATCTACAGAATCTAGAAAACCAGCTGGAGATAAGTTTGAAAGGAGTTCGAGTAAAGAAGGTAAAGTCTTCCTGATCTCTAAGATAATTTTGTATGTATATATGCAGCATGCATATTACGCTGATTCAGCCTTCCTTTTTTTTTTTTTTCCCCCCACAGGACCAAACTTTAGCTGATGAAATCAAAGAGCTGAACCACAAGGTTCTTCTGGACTGTTGACTTCAATATTTTCCAAATTGATTGTATAGACATTCTCATGTTCATTGGCTTTCATTGGCTCCATTGCAGGGTAATCTAATTTATCAAGAAAATGTAGAACTTCATAAGAAGGTTGGCCTCATCAGTCAAGAAAATGCAGAACTGTGTAAGGTACAAGTCTTGGCAACACATGTATCACTAATAAATTTTATTCACCACCCCTTCAACTCCAAACTTCACTTTTTTACCACCAAATAAGGAACTAGTAAGAATATATACACTCATTCTTCATATACCCGCTCCTACAACCAGTTAGCTCCTCAACAAAAATTATAGAATTTAATGCCTATTGTGTGGGAATCATACCTTAGCAGTAAGTCGTGGACTTTGGAACCTAAACTTGAGATTTCATAAACACTCTAAAGGCCCACATTATAAGTTTCTTATCCCAGGTTTATGGAGAACGGAATGTGGATGAAGCAAACAGTGCTTCCCAGCCACCCTACACTGTAGGAAATGGATATGACTTGCATGCCCCAATCTGTCTCCAACTGAGCCAGCCACATCCTCATAACAGTGAAGCACCAGCAGAATCAATGAAATTGGGGTAAGTTCTCTTCACAATATGGAAGCTCTACAACTAATAAGTACCAGAGCAATTGACTTAACAATAATCCGGGGACATTCTTGCCAAAATTTCCAACAGGCTGCAACTTCGATAGTAAAAGCAGATGATTATTGTGGATGGTTAGTAGTCATCATCCACCAAATTGATCCAAAGTTGAAATGTGCAAGCTTCTAGCAATGAGATCTCAAGCATCAGCTAAGAGAAATATGTTCAGCAGCAGGACCATCCTATTTGGTATGATATGTTTTATACAAAATTTAGAGATTGATGTAAATGATTGCCAGAACAGCTATCTATATCAAATATGCAATAATGGAAAGCTCAATATGAGCCAGGTGTAACTCTAGATGTCTAGAAAATTTAAACGTGATCAATGGAATTGAACTACTAGATGAAATGTGGTATCTATATATACTTTGCTTAGCGAAGATTAATAAAAATTTAAGTGAGAAACTTGTGCGCTTGATGATCATTATTTGATTGGAAGTTATGATCTATATATCCTTTTCCCTAATAAAACACATTCTTCAATTCTTTAATTGGAAGTTCATGAAAGAGCAAAATACATAAGAAGTCTACAAAACAACAATACAAGGCCTGATCTTGCAAGGTACCAATTCCAAATGAGATAGTCTAATTACCAGAACAGAATCCCTAATTTACAATAATGAAAACATTAGCCCTGTAGTAAGATTCAATGAAACCTAGTGCACTTGTCATATAGATGCATCAAAACCTAGGCAATGAGGGGAAAAATGCATTACTAGAATGATGTTTTCGTACTGTAAATGGAGAGAAAAGCTGCATTTTCGTATTATTAACTGATAAAAGGAAAAAAAGCGGTGTTGTTGCAAATTTCAATTCTCTGTCTGGAATTTCGTCAACCATAGACCTTGAATAAAGACTAGTTTGAACATTACGTCGTAGTTTATGCAATAATATTGCAAAAGAAAAAAACTCATTATCTCGAGAATATAAGTTCATAAATCACAAATCGTCTGAAGAATGATTTGCAGAATTGATAATCATACCTCATTTCCCTTTGCCAGGTCTAGCATAGAACTCGGCAGACAAGCTCTAAGCGGACAGGACTCCTCGTAAATGCCGTGGATAATATCCAATACCTGAAGTTCAACACGGAAGAGCATATAAAAGCATTGTGCTTGTGCGTGCATAAAGGAATTCATTAAATAAAGGGCAGAGCATCTATCACTGGCATAGTTCAAAGATTTTCCAGCACTGTTGTTGTACTGTTATTACCCAAAGCAACGTTAGCTTTAATTCTTTTTTTTCCCGCAAATAAGGTCTTAGTTAAACGTAGTTTGCCTAAAATGACAAATAGATAATTTTCAAGTACAGCAGCTTCTAAGCAGAGTAATTTGCCATTAGTAGGCAGAACAGATTAACAGTCATGTGTGAAAAAAGGGAGCTTTCCAAGTCTCTAAGTAATTCTTAACACAAATTAAAATTAACTCTCAGAAATGGTCCATCAATGAAGTGAAATTCCAAATTATTACGCTTAACATTAAGCTTCAAAACATGAGAAAACAAACAGAGAGACTTAAAAGTGACAGAAGAAAGTGATGAAAACCATAGCAGCATAACTGTAGAGTACATTCAGATGTTCATTAGTGGAAAAATTAGAAGACTGGCAAGTACAATCACTGTTGGAAAGCGTGCAATGCATCACACACACATGCTGAAGCATCTTTCAACATTCATGCTTTACCATCCCTATGTTTTACTCAAATGTGTCTAGACTGCATTAAACAAAGGAGAAGGGAATGGATAGTGGGAGAAAGTTTCCATAGAACTGGTATTGTTTCGATGCTGACTTTCAGATTAAAACTAAAAACATAAAATAAAAAGCTCCACTTATCTGTGTTTCCAACATCCACTGAGCTGCCTTTACAATAATTAATATATTTGTACTTCCACTCATAATAAAAAGAGTACTGAAAAGATTAAAAAGAGAATTTTTGTTAAATGCATGTGTGAGACCACAATCTCTCTTTGAACTTCAATGCTGTTAAAGGTTCTATGATTTTAACTTCGTCTTATTTGGTAACCATATACTCCAAACCCACCAGATATAATGATGCAACCATGAAAATAAAAAAATAAAATAAAATAAAAATACAAGGAATTACTTCTACGATTTCTAATTTCTGCAACTTAGAGATTCCTCTTGTGAGGCCCTTGGCAACTCATGATGGAAACGAATTTCTATTAGTTTGTTAAGTTGGATCCAAGTGATTTTTGGGCCTAAATTATCTTCAATTAGACAATCATTCAGAAGTTTTGAGTATTTCAGCAAGCAGCAGCAAAATTTAATCTTGTATGGGCTAAATTAGCTTTAATCCAGAGCCAAGCTTGCCATTCACATTTTCCATAAAGTTACTTAGTCCAAAATTTGAAACAGCATCTCTGCTACCCAAGCCCATAACCTTTACTGTTGAGAAAACAATGTCTCTCTGCAATTAGGACCATGAGACCGACGTAAGGAAATGTTAACAGTTAGCATGCCCACAACCAGAACAACTAGTACCCTAAGAAAGGTTCTTAACTCCATCCATTAAGCTATATAAATGGATCGAGCGAGTCATCAAAACCATGTATTCTAACATTAATTTCTGAAGAATTACATTGTTTTAGACACATATGAGTGAGATTTATTACATTTAATCTATTCACTATATTTTTATGAACAGTATGAGGTTCTGCAGAAGTGTTACACGTACCAGAATCAATCACATTGTCTCCTGAATAAAAGTGATGCAGGTGCTAGAACTAGTGGCTTCCATATAATTAAGGTATTTCTTTTAATAGTTTATTTACGTATTATTTATTGTAGCAGTTTGGATGGCTAAGATTTAGTTATTTTAAAAGGCTAGGATTTCTTAACATATGGTTTTGCTAGTATTTAAGGGCTGCTACTACTATAATAAGAAATAACTTAGATATTTTGATAATTTATTAGAGGTTTGTTCTCTTTTCTTGCCGCTTAGCCCAGCCTTTGGCTGTGTTAGCTATCTTTTGCCCCTACGTCAGTTGGTATAAAGCCCAAAATTGATCCCTATTTTGGCGATGGCAGCCAAGCGAATGAGAGTTCCTAGGTTCAATCAAAACCAAGAAATGTTGGAGTTGCGAAGGCTGCTAAACCAACTCAAGCAAGAGGTATTAACCCTACTTGAAATTAGAGTGGAAGCCCTAAAGTATATTCCGGAAGGTGACCACGACCCCTTACATACCAGGAAGTGTTCGTAAGGATGAAGACATTTTTCATGATGCTGGAGCTGTAAATTACATGGTTCAAGGTGGATTCGAAGAAGGGAAAAACACTGCACTTCATTGGAGGAGGAGAGTTGAACAGCAGCAAGCACTATTTGTTGAGGAAAAAAAAAAACCGGTTATGGATTGGAGTTCTTTGCCAATCTATGATGAGATAGATGTGGATTGGGATTCTCCACCAATCTACAATCTTTAATGTGATGATGATCTTAACGAGGAGAACAATGACAGCAGTAATAACAGCAACGATAAACTAGAAAATAAATGCTAAGATTGCATCGTTGTAGTTACTTCAGAAAAGGAATTCAGTGGTTTAAACTATTATGATCCGTTTGACTAAATGCATAATTCAAGCTGAAAAATAAGTTTCTACAGAGATTATATGTTGGTTGTGCTTGTTGATAATACAAAGTTGTACTATACAGTTTATTGTCCAATACAACAATTGGATGGAAATAATTTGCTATTACAAGTTCGTTGTGCTAAACATGAAATAAAACTACTCATCAATTTTGATATAGATTTAAAGCGGATAAGGAAAAAGGGTTGGCAGCTTTTAATTTGGCATCCACAAGATTGAGGAAAGAACAATTTGAACATAAGGACAAGTTCCTTCCAACCTTTGGAGAATGATGCAGGAGCTAGAACTGCAGTAGCTTTCATATGATTAGGATTTTTCTTTTAATAGTTCATTTACGTATAATTTATTGTGGTAGTTTGGACAGCTAAGATTGTTTTTAAGGGCTAGTTTACTTAGGGTTTTTCTAGTATTTAAAAGCTGCAACTACTGTAATAAGAAATAACTTTGATATTTTAATAATTTTATACGAGGCTTGTTCTCTTTTCTAGCAATTTAGTCAGACAACCGGCCTTTGTCTGTGTTAGCTAGCTTTAGCTTCTTTTGCCTTTTCTCCCAATGTCAGTTGGTATCAGAGCCCAAAATCGATCCCGATTTTGGTGATGGAAGCCAGGCAAGCGAGAGTTCCTGGGTTCAATCAAAACCGAGGGATGTTTGAGTTGTGAAGGATGCTAAACCAAACTTAAGCAAGAGGTATTACCCCTGCTTGAAATTAGAGTGGAAGCCTTGAAGTAGATTTCGGTCTGTGACCATGACCCCTTAGACATATCGAAAGATGGTCATAAGGATGAAGACTCATTTCATTATGCTGGAGTTGTAAATCACACGGTGCAACATGGATTGAAAGAGAGGAACAACACCGGAATTCAATGGAGGAATAGAGTTGAAGAGCAGCAACCAGAAGACACCCTATTTGTGGTGAAAGAAGTAGTTATGAATTGGAATTCTTTGTACATTTATAATGAAATAGATGTGGATTGGGATTCCCCACCAATCTATAATATTTATTGCGATGATGAGTACAGTGATGGCAACCATGTTGTCATCAACGGTGACCTCATTGGAAAGGTAGAAGTTGATTGCAAAGAGAGCATGAGAGTTGCTCAACAAAAGAAATTTGTTGATTTAGGCTATGTTGGTCCGTTTGATTACAAGTCTGCCACTTTCACAAATGTAGAAGTGTTTAAAGATTACATGGATACAACACATGTTGATGAAGGTAGTTTAAGTTTTGCAGCTCATTACTCCAAAAGTCAATGGAAGAGGAATAAGTTGTTAATTGATGTTTTTTATGCAAAATTTAACATGGAGGAATTGATGCTGATATCTAGAATTGTTATACACGTGAAGTGAAGAAAGAAAAAGGCCAGGAGAGCCTTGCTTGGACATCCACAAGATTGAGGCAAGAATTGTTCAACTCGAGGACAAGTTTCTTCCAAACCGGGGAGGATGACATAGGAGCTTTCTCTAGGATTTATTTTACAATATTTCTGATATTTGAGTTACTCAATTAATCTAGGGTCATGTGATTAGCATGCGACTTTTTAAAGTATTCTTTATAGGGAAAGTATTCCTTTATAGGGTACGTAGTGCTACTTAGGGAAGACTATGAATCCTTTTCCTACAAGGATATAGAGCTTAAACTAATACAAATAAGCTGCTAGGGCTATTTTTGTAGTAGTTATTTGTTATTTTATCAATCTATTCAGATTCTAGAGGTTTCTTATGAACCCTAAATTCAATTATCTTGTCCAAACTTCAATTTTATCTTAATTTTTAGCCATTATTATGCTGAGATTGCTGTTCTAGTGTTTTCCCCTTCCCACACTACATCAAAAAGCATTTCTTGTTTTTTAAAAACCAATAATGTAAAGCTAGTAGCAAGCCCAGAACAAGTCTCTAGCAACGTAAATGAACCCGATCAACGGCGATTCTATCCTAACAGTTAATAAACCATAAGATTTCTATCTTATAAAACAGAAGCTCATTTCTTCAAATTTCAAGTTTTGCAGACGACACCTGTCGTTTTCTTTATTATCCGTCAATTTAAAAACTAGAAATAGAGGTATCAAATTCTTATTTTCAAGTGATATCAACCACTACATAAGGTATAAAACATCCACTGGATGGGTGGTTTGATAAACATAATACCAATCATTAGGTTGAGCAGAAAAATTAAGAAAAAGAAAGAAAACTGTACCTTTACTACAACAGGCAGGGGTAAAAAGACGCAGCAAGCCTACTGCAAATCGTATTTTAGAGATAAAATCAGAGGCCACAAATCAAATTCCATTATGTTGAGATGGAGTAAGTGGTGGTACAAATGAATTGTCCCAAAAAAATTTCACTCTCGATTGAGAAGTCATAAGTTAAAATGAATCCTGAAATTCTCCTTTCTGTAATTTCTGGACACTAGAAATCCCGCAAATAGAGAGGGAAAGAAACATAAACTTGACATGGCAGCACCCAGAATCATCTATCCCTACAACTTTAAACACCATTTAAAGTCGTTCCAAACCTATGTACTCTCATTCAGCATATTGATCACCAAAACCTAATCAAAGAATCTGTGTATTCAATCAGCAAGAAGCTTTGCATTCACCTCGTAATGTTTGCAAATTTGTTCAACACAGCCACCAAGAAACACATCCTAAATGTTAATTTTCACTAATATTTCCTTTCACCCTTTACATTGGAAGTCAAGTTAATTAACCACAACTATAATGTGCAATATCTCTTCCAATACGTTATCCGCATGAGAATACAGGTTCAATCCAAGGAACCCAGGGCCCAAATTAACAATCACTATCAAAGCATGAACAGTTTATGTAACCTCATAACAATAACACACTACACACTATAATTGTGCATTATGCAATCTCAAGCAACATAGTAATAACCACCCAATAAAGAATACAGGAAAAAAAGGACAAAGAAAATACAACTATCTCTCTTTTTTAACCTAATCAAGGACTCGAAAAACATCCACAATGCAGCTTCTTATAGCGCAAAATTCGTTCATTAGGCAATCAGTCATCACATAAAAGAAAATAAGTTCCTGCTCAAACTCTACATATTACAACAAATATCCATGTTGCATCAAAATATGTTGAACTTGAATATTTGTTGTAACTTCACCTGCTCAAATTCCAAAACACAAAACCATTGGGCTTCAAGTTTACCAGCTACACATAACTAAATCAGCAAACAATCATGACTCCATTGGATATGATACATAGAAATGCTGATGTACAACTCAACAAGTTAGTTTTCCTAGTAAACTTCAGAAGAGTACCTCAACTTATCACATCTTACCCGAAATTTTCATCACACTCATCTAAACGTGAGAATATTACTCTACTCTGGCAGTCTCCAACCATAAAAGACTTAAGCATCAAACATTTGCACAGGCTTTATTTTCCTTCACTCCTCGAGGTCTAACAGCCATCAACACACTTCTATCCCACCACAAGGATAGTATGGGAACACAAGCATAATCAGACAACCTTGAACAAAGTGTAAGCATCTTTTATAGATTGTTAGAACATACGTTTCACCTATGAACCTTCTACACTTAGAATCCTTGTCAAATGATCATAATCTTTAATTACCAAATCTGAAGCACAACTAAAAGTAAGAAACAAAAGGGCCAAATCCTCCTCATCTTCTACTTGTTTTCTCTCATCTTCATTTTCTTCTATTAAATTTCCCAAATCATGTATTGAATCTCAAACTAAATCAACCAAGCACTAGTTGTGATTGCATCCAAGCCAAACGATTGTCTCCTCTACCACTTTTTAAGGAAGTCAGGATAGCAAAAAAAGGGGATAAATACAACACAACCATTGAATATAATTTTCAAACTCAATTACACCCACTGCTATCACCTGAGGAAACCCCTCTCGCATCACTGTGTTTAACTCTTAAGCCAACACGACAAATTAGGTTATGCCACTAAACTCTTACGTGTATAGAGTTCCCGAAACCACTATGTTGTAACAATTCCTTTGAGCAAAGGAAAAGGAAAAAAAAACCCTAGACCATGTCAAACAAAGAAAAAACAGCCATTAACCCCAAACAATATAGAATTGCGAGATGGACTTGGGATTTGACGCAAGAACTCAATGAACAAATCAATATGAAGTCAGGCAACCATAATCCATCACACAAAGCACACATACACCATAATCCAACACACAAAACACAAACACACACACGCACACGCACACGCACACGCACAAAAGAAGTTTCAATAACAAAATAACAACTGAAACATGTGTGTGTGCATAATTCAAGTAGGAATGCTCATTTACCGATAAAAATGAAAGCCACTTCATAACCTTAAAAGTAACTAGACTCGAAAGTTTAAGCGATCGAAGTAACAAACCGTCCTGCAAATACAAAAGAAACCGATCAGAACCACCGAAACTGAACAAGGACACGAAAATGCAGTTAATTCAAAGGTATGGAAGTTCACGCACTTAATCAGGAAGAGAAGAGAACATGAAGCACGAGAATGACAGAAAGAGAGAGAGAGATCTGATTATTCTTAGGATGAAGCAAAACGAAAGAACCGCCTCTGTTCGTGTTTATGTATATAAAATGCTGCAGATTGCGTACGTGGATGGAGAGAGAAGAAAATATCTCAACCAACTTTCACAAATTCATCTTCCAGAGGCTTAAATAAGGAGGAGGGCTTTAATTTAGTACATTTGGATTATTGCAATCAATGCACCTGGACAGGTTTCCGCCTTTGGTAGGGCCAATTGTAGCCTTCGTGGCTTGTGAGTTTGGCATTAAAAAATTATTACTTTAATCAAATTCTTAACCATAAGCCGCCACTGCCCATTAGGAGTTTAAACTTTCCAGATTTTTTTGTAATAATCATTATTATTAAATTTCAGAACATAAGACCAACAGGCTATTAAAATAACTTCTAGGCTCTTAGAGACAAGTAGCCAACCTTATTGCCGACACTTGTTGGAAATTCAATAACCACGTGATCGGACAATAAACGGCAAAGCCAAGGTTGCTATGCACGTTTACACTAAAACATCTTTTCCTTTCTATATTCTGTCGCGCTGAGATAAAAATGCATGTTGTCTGGTCCAAGTGGCTTTTGCATCTCTGAGGGAAAGCAGTTTTTATACTGACCCAAATCAAGTGTAGTAGTGGGGGCAGATCAGTTTTTGGATGGGAAGCAAGGAACATGGCGCATAAAGGCCCGAATGGTAGGTTCGGCTGAGATTTAAATACGTAATTACTTCGATTAACTTATCATTACTACAAGTCTGCGATGCGTTTTTTCCCCTTCTAAAATATGTGATTTTCTTTCACGTGGAAGATCGAAGATCGTGTTCGTTGTGGAAAATTTTTGCAATAAAGAAATATGGAAAACATGTTTATTTTTTAAAAATGTAGATTATTATTATTATTATTATTATTTGAAAATGCGTGTTTCCTATTTTTAAAATTTTCCATACACATGAAGAAGAATATTCTAATTTTGTTTTGTGAATCCTCCGCTATAAATTAAAAGGAGAGCTTTATTTCATTCTTATATTCATTTATTTTATTATTTTAAATGTTAGTCACATAAAACCTTTGATGTTCATTTTGAAAATTTTGTGGAATGAAAATGTTTTCTCAATTTTTCATAGAGAAATGTATTTAAAATAAATTATAAAATTATTTTAAAAAAATAAAAACTAACCTTTTTTTCAAGAAAAAATACCAGCCACTCTTGAAGCCAATTTAGAGCAATAACCTCCAAAGGCATATGGAATGGAAATTTTTAATATTATTTATAGATTTATATAAGTATTAAAGTAAATCAAGAGGTGGTTTTACTTTTGGACAAATACAAGCTTTGTTGCGATAAACAACGAAATAAACGAGTAATAGCAAACCAAATAAATTGAAAAACAAAAAAAATCAAGACAAAGACTTAAATGGTTCAATCAAAGTGATCTACATCCATATACGAGAAAACAAGTTTTCGCTAGATGACGAACAAGAGAATACAAGAGCACGATCTATAATGGTTTAAACTAAATCTTTATTTTTTGGTTCTCTTGATATAAAAAAAGAATAATAAAAGGTTTAAATATCTTGGACATAAAAAGAAAACCACGATGGGCTAAAAGATATGTCGGATCGAGCCATAACTAAACGGGTTGACTCGTCATAAAATTCAAGTCATATTTAACAATCTTTACCTTAGTTTGAATTCCTCAAACCTTCAAGAAGTTGAACAACTCTCAAGATACACGTTAAAGCTTACGTGAGCTAATTTGGTGTAAGAAATAAGAAAAAAAAACTATCAACTTCAAAATCAAAACCAATGAACTTAT